TCAAGTACCACATGATAATATCGGTAGCAAAATTTAAAGCACTATCGATAATCGATATCGAAAGAGCCGAAAAGATGCAAACTGACAATATATAATAAACCGGTGGAGGAGGTCATGAGTTTTAAATATCTCGGCGTCGCATCAGAAATAGCAGAAACCCCTTCGAGGAAGTCAAGGCTCAGACAAGCAAAGTAACCTTAATATCCTGGTATTTGCGAGATATAATATGGTGAAACAAACACATGGGCATACAAAGTAAAATCCGCATATACAATCCATAGCACACTACACCCTGAGGAACTATAAGAGAACTCTGTGGTGTCCAAGATATACTCCGATGATCCTGAACCAGACGTCCCGGATGGAGGAACAATCATTGAGCGGAAAATTGCAAAGGATGGTGTCCCAAGAACAAATAGACTTCCTGGACGCCCGCCCATAAGGTGGCATAAAAGCTGGAATTCATCATCCTAGCCACGTCTCTAGATTATAGAGTACAAGAGAAACTTTTTCTGAAATTGTGTGAAGACCTATAAATTTATTTAAGATGTTGCAGAACAAGCTTGATCTTAGTTGCTTGATGTAATTAATCTTAATTAACTACGTTAACCACACGAACAAATTGATAACAGAAATAATAAGTGAAGATTTTTAGCCTAAAACTAAGATCTAAGAGACTTTATGCCATGTAACAGTATTGATAAGGACTTTGTTCCTAAATAGATAACTTTGCATTAATAATTTTATGTGGCAAGATCATTTTGATGCAACTTCTGCTCAAGACACACTGTACTTAATCGATACTGATCTATAATTTTATTCCAACAAGCGCTATTGAGGTTTCAGCTATCAAAGTTTATGATCAAGGCGTAGCATTGGAAAAAAGCTTGCCATAAAGATCGATGGTAAGTTTACTGCTTAAACCATTCGTGGGAAGCTATACACCATCAAAAATCTGTTGTGTGCACAAAGGGAATGAATATTTCCGAACAAATTGGAGGTATGCCATTGGTAGAAGATGTACGAAATACTACAATACGATCTATATTATCTGATAGATATGGTTACCGTTAATTCTTATGAATACAAAAAGGAAACAGTAGATCAGTTGTCAATCAATTGATTGTATTTGTCAATACCACTCTATCAAGAGGTCTTGGTGTTTTTAAAACATTCGTTTTGCACATTTACAGAAATCAATTATTTCCTACATACAAACTTTAAGTAAGAACTTTAGGAAATGTGAAACCAACAATCTCCAAACTTTCCAGCGAAAGCGCCATACTGATTACTCCAGTAAGCTCCAAAGCCCAAAACAGGTCTATCCAATTGAAGACACTGTCAAGCTGGACATGGATACTTTTTATTGATAGAACAATTCTTTTACTTCACACTATCCTATACAATCGCGAAGAAGGAGCAGCATTGAACCAAATTGAATGTACTAAAGTTGATTAAAAAATGCATTATTAAAAAAATCAATCAGGCAAATGATGGATAGTGACATCAAAATGATAAGTCATATTCCATTATTGCTATTAAACATATAACTCTGAAGATACAAACATTTCGGTTGAATTGCAGTTTATTATTAACACATTTATCACATGTTGGGAATCTCTAGGTTCTTATAAAGTGACTCTCTCTTTTCCCGAAAATTTTAATAAAGTAGGAATCATAATAATATCAACCCAAGACAGAATCAATAGCCATCCTAGAGTAACAGACAATTTTGAATGAAAAATTTCAGGTTTTGTGGAAAACGGATGAATTTATTATAGTGGATAATACACTTGCTATTTTACGTAACCACGAAGCTGACATCCTCAAGGAGTTTCTTTTCTGTTTCGCCGTTGCTTTCACGAAGAGTACGAACCTCATTTTCAAAATTTTTTTAAGAACTACTATAATATTGACGTTTGGCCTGGCACGATATCACAAAGAGCTTAATCTCTGCCTGGAAGAAACTAGTGTAGTGTGATGAAATCGAAAACGAAGTTCATAAGATCACAAAATTTTTCGAGGAACTCTCCGAAGAACTGAAACAGAAGAGATTAAAGAGTTACAGACGAAGAAGCATACAAAAATTTTAGACTGCCTAAATGACGCTGAAAAGTGATTAAGTTTGTTGAAGTAGATGATTATTAATTAAAATTGGAAACCTAAGGAAGGGAACCAAATAAATAAACGAAAATCATTGAGATAAAAAAGATTTGGTTTGAAGAAACAGAGTGTCCAAAACATTCCTCTTTTACACGTTTAATTTTAACACGTTGGCTGCCGCAATAGTCACTAAAAGTCTATCCATTCTGGCCGGAACAATTAAAATTAAATAGGCATGAGAATCAACTGGTGCTTCTAGTGGCTGTTGTGGAAATTTTGCTGTGCATCAAGTTACGCTTTTCATGGCAGTCAACGTGTTAATGGAGTGTCAAAACATACATCAGCAAGTGCGAAGCAGCAAGATTGCCATGCACTGATTGGATATTGATATAAATTTAAACACACCTTAAGAAAAAAAAAATGATAAAGTAGCTCGTAACATCCTTTACAAAACAAAAAAATTACTCCGAATGCATGCGGAGCCACAATATACCATGGTGTGTATTCGGTTGCCTATTTTCTTAATAAAATTGTACTTTGCTCAACCGACTAATTATTATAAGTACGGTAAACGTTATCAGTGCTTCTAATAAATTCTTTACACAAAATCGAGATTATTCGGTATTAAACAATCTACGTTATGGCTTAACAATAACTTGTTATAACAAATATTGGTGTTTATAAGCATTTTTTATATATTTAAGTAATAATTATGATGCCTAATTTTAAATGTTTGAATGTACATTTTGCAAAGTACGCATTTCTCTAAATATTTGCCTCTTTATTCACATTCGGATTTAGACGTACGTCTCGTAGGGCGACTATATATATAGTGTTAGTTCTAGTTTTAGTGCAATAAAAATATGCACCATAGTGACATCTCACTAGAACAAACATTAGACTTAGAACTAGAAACATTCGGGTTTAGCCGCACGTCTCTCATGACGGCTAAACCCGAATGATTCTAGGTCTTGTGCTAGTTCTAGTGATAGTGCAAAATTCGAACTAACACTAGACTGGGAACTAGAAACATTGGGATTTAGCCGCAGGTCTCTTCAGACGGCTAAACCCGAATGATTCTAGTTCTAGGTCTAGTGTTAGTTCTAGTTTTAGTGCAATAAAAATATGCACCATAGTGACCATATGCACCATCTTATACAAACTAGCACTACCTATCACTGTCACTAGAACAAACATTAGACTTAGAACTAGAAACATTCGGGTTTAGCCAAACATCTCTTAAGACAGCTAAACCCGAATGATTCTAGTTCTAGATCTAGTGTTAAGTTAATTCTAGCTTTAATTTCTATTCAGCGCCAAGTTGCTGTATATTATAAACACTTCAAAGTTGTTTCTGAAAAAGGTTATAATGCTAATGTTAGCTAAAAACAATATATTAAGTAGTAATAATTGTATAAATAATATCTATTTCGCTCCCCGGCGATCTTTTTTATTGGCAATTACGAACTAACAGCCCGCCGCGTGATTCTGTAAGCCCATGTACTACAAGGTTAATTGGTGTCATCAACCAAATGGGTTTAAACATGTTTATTGAAACATCATCTTTTAGTTTAATACAAATAATAATTTGTACTTATTTCATCTTCAAGAGGACATATTAATAAAAAGATGGATAAAAATAATCAAGATCAATGACATAATATATATTTAATTGAATATAACCTGTCCAATTTGATTTTAATTGACGCTATTTTCACACCTATAAAACACCGCAAATTGCTGAAATGATACTTTTAATAACGATTTAAAATCATCAATCTTAAACACATCAAATTAGTGAAACTTGATTTTTATCAAATTTTAAATGAAATAAAAAAAAAATCTTACCTGTTGAATACTACTTTTTCTACTATTACTTCTTATCCCAGAATCCTTTCTACTATTAATAGAATGAGCGACACTGAGTTGATCGTCAAGTAATATTGTCGAAAGTCGATGTGGCACTTCAAGTGAGGTCTTGTGCGGTCTTTCAAAATTTGGTACGGTGATACTCTTGGCACGTTCGCCTGATAAATTTTCGAAAACGGGAGATTTTCCGCGTTTCGAACGATTACTTCCCGCTCTGGATAGATAAACTAATTCATTTTGTCTACCGTATTGCGATCGGTAACTTCCTGTGCGTATAAAATGTGCGGCGTAATCGTTCGGTGTAAAATCGTAAGCACCAATATCACTTCTTGACTGACTAATATACGATTTAACGTCAATCCCATCTTTGTGTTCGTCAAATAAAACATCGGTGTGTTCGTCGAAACAATTACTAAGATTAGTCCAAGATGTTGAATCAATTTTTTTACCGTTTAAAGTTTGATCTTCAACGATTATTGGTACTTGTTGGTATTCGTCTTGGTTGTTCGTTTCGATTAGTTCGTTCTTTTTTAAAAACTTTGGTATCCTCCAGCTTTTTAATTTCATTGAATATTTCCCTGAGCTCGCCGTTGATGTTGGCGTTTTCACCTGTTCTTTTTGTTCCGGATCGAAATCTTGTTCATTTTCAGAATCTAAAATGCTTGGTAAACTACTCGCTTTTACTCTACACGCATCTGGAGATAAAAAGTTTGGATCTGTCGTGGGTTTTAGCGAATTATCACAAGATAGTACTCTAGGTCGGGTTTGGGGTGATAACGACGGAGGGGATGGAGCTGGCGAAATCTTTAATTGCACTGAATTATGTAATTTAGTTTCATCCCGTTTAAAACTACTGTTTCTGGAATGAATTGTGTTTATTGTTTTTCCGAGAATTAAATAAGTTTTTAAGCCGGAGACTTGGGGGGCATCTTCTAATAAATAATCGTCGTCTAAAAATTTTCTTGTTGTTTCTGAAATATGAATCATTCCGGGTTTGCTCGTCGATTCCATTGTGTTTGCTAAGGTGACATCGTTACTCCAAACATCAAATTTGAACCGTTTCGTTCCGACGATTCCACATAAAATCGTTCCCGTGTGAATACCAACACGCATATTAATACCTTCATTATATGTTGTATCAAAGTCTTTAATTGCTTTAATCATGCTTAAACCCATTTCAACGCAACATTTTGCGTGATCCGGGACTGGATCCGGACAGCCGGAAACGCAATAATAACAATCTCCTAACGTTGAGATTTTCTCGCAATGATGTTCTCGACATAAAATATCAAAGCTTCGGAATAAAGTGTTGAGAATTACAACGAGTTCTTCGGCAGTTTTTGTGCTGGACATTTTTGTGAAACCAACAATATCCGCGAATAAAATACTAACGTTTTCGATTCGAATCATATTAAACGGTCGAAATAAAGATTTTGCGATGTCTCCGGTTTCTGGGTCGGAATATCTCGGTTCTTTACCGTCTTTTCGATCATCGTTCATTAACCAACTTGCTACACTCGGCGGCATTAACGACAAAATCATTTCTTTTTTTAATATCTGCTCTTTTTCGAGCTGGCTTCGAGCTAATAAACTTTGACCAACTTTCATAAACGTGTTTCTCATCCGAATATTATTCATAATTAATATATGAATTCCGATTAAATGTATACAAAAATGTACCATTAATCTTATGGTAACTGTTTTAAAGTCGTAATCGTTACGACTTGAAAGCCACGTTACTATTTCAAATAACGCGGTGTAGGTAACGCTTATTACTATACAAATATAAAATCTTAACGGGAATATTGTAAAAATTAGCATTAAAATTTCGGCGCATATTGAAAATTTTCCAACGTGTCCGATTATTGGAAGAGTTCCGTTTTTTTCATCCGGGATTAATGGAATTACGAAAAATATTCTTGTTACACACAAAGCCAACACTGTGCATAACGAAATTGTTGATAATCTTTGTATGCAAAATTTCGTAAATGTTAAAAAAATGAGTAGAATTATTACAACGGTGAAAACGGCTAAGATTGCGCATTGCGTAGGCCAATTTGGTATTTCTGTCGTTATTCCAATACAGAGGAAATACAGAAACCAAACGAACGATACCAGAAGGATATAGAAAAGTCCGTATCTGTTGATCAAAAAAAAAACAAAAATTAGTGAGATGATAATAAAAATGTTATCGTGATAGATTTTTTATTAAAAGGATTTGTTTATTTTATTTGAATGGGTAATTTTATCAACACAACCGGGAGTCTAACAGAAATAGTTTTATGAATATTAACCTATCATAAATATAAAATACAACCAAATATCCGTTTCGGTTATTTTCGTTTTAAAATTTTATTTTTTCAAAAAAAAAAAAACTAAAATCAAAGGTTAAATTTTTGGCACATTTTCCAAACGTTTATTTTGGGTTTTAGAAATAGAAATTGTAACAATTATTAATAATCATAATTTATAGACCTATTATTTACTCAGTAGTATTTAAACAACTTCCTAAACAGCATTAGTTAAACATACCTATAAATATCGTCCCAGATAAAAATAGCCGATATTTGCACAAAGATAAGACAAAAATTATAAAAAAATATATAGGTTACAAATTGCTTAATAAACTACTTCATTCATTTTTTAATTACTTTAATAAATGTATTATGGGACTTTTAATCATCATTTGTAAAGCAAATATTTTATTATGAAATATTTCCACGAGGAGCTAAGACATAATTATTATTAATAACACTGGAAAATTTTTCATATGAATTGTTTTTTAATTTTTGTTTAAAAAAAATGAGGTGTTTCAAAGGTAATAATCATAAACAATCGTTGTAATCTCCTTTTTGTAACAGAAAAGCTTTAAATCTGATTATTCGTTTAATATGATGTCTAAAACTGGAATTGATTTTTTAAATTCTATTTAATGCAAGACTAGTCAGAAATCTTCAAGACAAACATTTGAGGCGTTCTGGTCCTATTTACATCAATTGATTAATCAAGGGATTCAGAAACAATGGAGCCACAACAAACGAAAGCTTTATCATTAAACAGATTGCAGAAAAGCAATGGAATTCCTGTATACTCTATTAACATACTCGGACATGAAAATATACCCATACAGATAATAGATAATCGGTCTGAGGTTAAACGCAGCCTGATGACTTAACATAATGGATTAAGGCAAATCTTCAACAACTCTTATGTAACATTTCACAACTTGAAACTTGGGTTTACTGAAAAGGTTAGGAACAGAATGGACAACACTACCAAGACTTATTATGAGTCCAACCCTGAGTCCAACCCAACCCAACCCACTCAGGGATTTATAAAGCCAAGACTAGGATTTATACAGCGGTTATTGAGCCTCTGCTTATCAATGCCAATGAAAGCTGAACCACAAATAGAAGGGTCATCAGCAGGATTAATAGCCGCCGTCTAGTAAAGACTCAAAATAACTCAGAATTTACCACAGTCAGTTAGGCAATTGCCTTCTAGAAGAATGAACTCGTTCGTTAAGAATTACCTAGCGCAAAACCCAATATACAGGATAAATTAATTTCTCGAAAGATGTATAGAATGAATTATACTGTTTTCTTTTCTTTTTTCTTGTTTTTGTTTTGTATGTCAATACCACATTCTAATTAGGTGACATTATGACATGTAATTTCTTATGTATTTGCATCGAATAAAGATTATTATTATTATTATATTTACTTATGGCAATGAAAGCTGGACTTCAAATAGAAGGGTCATCAATAGAGTTAATGCGGTCCAAATGAAATGCTTCCAGATGAGTGAGAATAAAAAGTTGCTTTTGGTTTGGTCACATAAGAACAGACAAGAGCGCAGGACAGACCACCCATAGGAATACTGACAACAACATGGGAAGAGACAGTGACGCAGAAAGAAAGACTATGCAGCAGCTCAAGGGTCTTGCTGGGAAGAGAGAAAGTTTCAAGATGGATCCGAGGCCATCTCACAACGCTACGATAGAACAATTCATTTTAAATATCTAGGTGTTGAAATTACAAGCTACAACAAATACATTCGTGTAGAAGGCGTATAATACCGAGACGACAGTAGAGACGAACAAGACTAAGCAAAATGTGACAGTAAAGGAAAAAATTTATATTACATGTTAGACTACGAGGTAAACAAACCAACACCTTTATTAGAGAAAGATGTTAAATACAAAATGTAGTTAAATTGACAGAAACCAGAAAAACGAAACATGTAGTAAGAATGAGTAAGAAGAGCATTGTGGTCTATGTTACATCGATGCCTCCGCCGCAATCAACCTCGGCTTAAATACACAGCTTTTGATGTTCTTGGTTTTTTTTTAAGAAGTTCGTATCGTTGGACCGGCACACCTACAAGAAAATAAACAGCTATTTGCCAATCGAAACGGTCATCATTAACCAATCAAGCGTCCCATTAACCAAAGTCGTCCAGTCGCTCCAAAGAAGGTTCCGAAGGAGGAAATCATCTGCGCAATGGAAGCGGCTATTTGCAGAATATCTGCAATGAAAGCAAAAGAATTTCGACAAGAGATAGCGAAAGTACTTAAAACAGTGAAGTCACCAAAATCAAACCTAACAATTTACAAACGGTAAGGAAAAAAACAGACATCATAGTTCTACCAGATAAAGAAAATGCAACTGTGGTCATTGATAGAAAAGAATACAAGATGACGAGCCTTTTGGATCCAGCCACCTATAAGAAAATGAAAAAGGACTCAACCGAGAAGATAATAAAATCGAAGAATTGGTAAAATCTACAGAATTTGCAGCAGAACAAAAAAGAAGTTCTGCAACGTATCAGGTGGAAAAACAGTTTTCCAAGATTTTGCCTCCTTATACAGATAAAACAGAATCATATTATTAGAGATTACAGAGATTATGTCAGAAGTATGAAGTTAGATCCCCAGGGTATTTTGGTAAGTTTCGATCTGTTCACCAGAGAATCAGTCAAAGATGAAACGAAAGGAGAATTCTATGAGCAATGCGAAGGGGTTTCTCCTGTAACTGAAAATTTTTACATGGAGATGTTTGAAGACGAAGCGTTAAAGAAGAATCCGCTGAAACCGAAGCTATTGCTACGTTAGATGGATGACACTTTCATGATCTGGCAGCACGGGAAACAGCGACTCCAAGAATTTCGAGACGAAACGGAAACTGCAAAACAGTTACCTTTCCTAGATGTAGAAAGATTGGTCATTAGGAAGACAGACGAGGATATGAAATTGTAGGAAGGAAAGGTAGGATATGCGACAAAAATAATTAAAAGATTTCTACAGGATGTATGTACTGCAGAAGAACGATTACACGATTAGGGATATCCTATGTTTTAGGTGTCACGGAGCGGATTGCTAGGTGTCTGAAGAGTACGATATCGCGTTACGATATAGTATGGTCACCAAAATACACAACGCTCTTCCGATAGCTAAAGACAAATTAACCCCATTAAAAGAAACGGGAATCTATCGGCTACCATACAGTTACGTTGGCCAAACTAAACGTAATATCGAGTGTCGCATCAAGGAACATGAGATTGAATAAGACATGAGACTGGACAGTCGCAGAGCATTGCCATAAATAAGGACACACCATAGATTTCGACAAGACCAAGGTGCTAGCAGGAACTGTATATTATTTCCAAAGTATTGTGAGAGAGGCGATAGATATTCATGAACATAGGAACAAAATGAATACAGAAGACGGCTGGGAACTCAGCCGCACAAGATGCTACTTAACTCAACATGCCTTCTCTAGATTTGATTATTGACGTATATTCCAGCATTATTTAGACATTCCTTGCCACACGCAATTCGTTCCAACTTTCTTTTAAAGTTTCTAATCATAACGATTATTTGTTGTATGTATAAATGTATAGTTGCCTAATATTTCATCATCCTATATAATAGGACAAAGATAGAAGTCACTTGTTACTACTTGGTACATAGTTTTATTATTAATTTTTAAATTAAATACAAATCGGTTGGAAAGAAGGAATTTAGAGACTCAAAATTGCAATCTAAATCCCCTCACAAAAAAGTTGCGTCATTAATTACATACATAACAATTTTAAAAATCCATTTTATAATTACCCATAAAAAACCCGATTTCATAATCAGTTTTATTTTTTATTAACACCTAATAATTATTATTACCAATTTCCGGGAAACGTTTAAGCTTTTTTTATTATTATTAATACGCAACAAATTATCGATAATCAAGTACAACCCGAGTACTCACCATAAAATCCTTCTATAGACACACGATCATATCGAATCGAATATTCGAGATTTAATCAACGCGCATTTATGACACGCAGTTTGCTTTAATATTATTTACTCTAATTATAATCCGCTAACTATCCGTGTCCCCTAACATTCGATAATCTCGCACCATTAACTAACTCTATAAACACTCATTGAGGAAGTTCTACTCTCAAGGCTAAGAATATAAAAGGTCACTGTTAAGGATGAAAATGATCTCACTTTCATAAATGCATAATAATATCATTTATAACCTCTACAGAGTGGTTAAAACTTTCAAATCAAAAAAAAATATATATATAGATACAGGGTGATTCTCAACGTATACGCAAAAACTTAGGAATTTATTCATCATGACAAATAATGATTAGGAGGTGAAAAAAATAAGTGTTAAAAGTTGTTTCTTATATTTTTTTATACACAATTGAGTTCATTGAATCTATGATCTCCCATTAGAGCAGGCTAAGCCAGGGTGTTGGCGGATTTTTTGGGTAAGAACATGTATAGGATTGGCAATCCTTGCTCAGTATTAACTTCGATGGCATACACTATGTGACCCCAATAATAAAAATTAGGAGGATTGAAGGAAGCACCTTATCTAGATGTCGCCACATATACTTTTATTACAATTTTTTCACGTATTAGTAATTATTTGTCATGAGGAAATAGGTTGAGAATCACCCTGTATATACTTTATCTAAAAATAATAATTAATTTATTCTTTTATAAACAATCAATTTTTAATATTTCAAAAATTATTAACAACATAATCCTTTTTTCATTATAAATCAGATAAAACCTAATAAAAATATTCTAAACAAGATTAAAAATAGCTTAGTGATACTCAAAAAAAAAAAAAAACTTTCAAACTCACCTAAATTTATGTGTATTATGGGATAAAGCACTTTTCTTAAATTGTTCCTCTAAAATTTCCGAATCGAACATAGGATCCCACCAAGATTTCCTTGCGGCTCTTTCAAAAGGAACAGGAATACACCCACCCCAACAACCCGATTTTTGTGATAACTGCGCCAAATAAAGCTGGACTTCGTGCGAACACTGTGCTGCATCTTCATCGTGATATTCATTTAAATTTTGCGAATCGGACGTTGTGTAACTAAACGAAGAGACCCTTTTCTCGGCAGTCGCGCTCATTTCCCCCGCGTTATCGCCGTTTAATTAAGGCGCGAACATTCCGCGTGCTGTCCTCTTATCTATATAGATGGGAGTATATTAGCCGTGATTGTAGGGACCACTGCAACAAATCAGATAACACCAATCCCAAAAACAGCAAAAGAAACGAATTTTTTTTTTCTCGATTCTTTTTTATTACATTCTTTTTTTGTGGGGGGCGGTGGTTACCTTCACTTAATTCTTGGTGAATTGATTCGCGCGATCTCGTTTTCGATACAGGTGACGAAAAGAACCCTTCAGAAGAGTCGATGGTGATGTTTGCACTGTTAATGGTACTTCCATTAAGATGATAAACTATTTAATGGTCATATGTGAGGTTTAGGTTTTTGGGATTTATATGTGATTCGTGATAAAATTTTTCGTGACATGATTCCGTTAGCGTTTAGAACGTTTTCGCGACTTTTACACGACTGCGTCAACTTGACGTATGACAGATTTTAAATCCCCACCAACGTTTTTTGTTTGTACATATTAACGTTGGTATAACGATGATCAAAAGTTTTCGTTTATTTCTTTTTCTACATATAATGTATTATAAAATTATTGATTATAATATAATATAATTCAATAAATTATAATTGGTTATTTACGAAAACAAATATATCATCTTTTTTTTAACTACAAATTCAAGAATATTAACAATACCAACATTTAATAACAAAATATTAAAAAATGAAATATTAATTTATGTTATTTCTGACCTTTAAGAAAAGTAAGAAATTAACTTACAGTTTTAAAATATAAATTAAGTTATTTCCCTTAAAAGGAATTTATTTAATTAAAAAATAAATCAGGATATTTTATACATTTTGACAGTTATAGTTGTGCGCCATCTTTTATCTACAAAGAAAAGCTAAAAATATGTATGTTTTTAATTTATGAATATTACTTATTCTCCGAATATACAACATTATTAACGAAGAAAAATATGAAATTTTTAAGGTAAATATTACTATTAAATTAGTTTTCCATAAAATGATATAAGCTCGAAGTAGGTATATAAAGTACAGCAAAAGACATCGTTTTACATACATTAAGACTATTTTTAGTATTATGTGTGTAATGTGTATGTAAGCATGTATGTAAACACGATAACTCAAATATGCAATTAACTGCTGTGCCGAAATTTCGTTTATGGCTACTATCAACCGGAAATTTGCTTTAATATTGTCTTTGTCTTTATAATTATGATAAACATTGATAATGTATTCGAATTCATTCTTCGTTGCAATTTATTCCCTCATTTATCGACGTACAGTTTGTAACTGTTGTAAAAATAAGAAATAAGTTTTGTGGGATGTTTTGTCGTTTTTTAAATCTTCGATTCTATTCAAAAAGATCTGTTAAATGAGCTAAAAAATAAATTCTAAGGAGCATTGGAATTATACAAATTCAGAGAATGTGGAAAGAAACTGGCAGCCTAGTTATTATTTGCCCAGTATTGATCTTGTCTACAATTATTGAGTTATTAATGACTAGGCTCCACACACGAAGTTACTCAACAGCAATCAAAAGTTGTAGTTTGTTCAGTTTAGTTGTGGAGGTAGTTCCAGCAACGATGAAACCATCACGACATATTATATTAGAAGGAAAAGAATGAACAGAAGACAGGAACAGTTCTGAGGCCACAGTATATTTGTTGCTGCACAGGATCTCGAAATTTCGGATGCTAAGTTTGGAGCATTCTACAGAATGTCCAAAGAAAGTTATTTGAAACCGGTAACATTAGTCTCCCCTACGATTCCATCGAAACAGAATACAATAATGAGGATGTTTATCGAAGCTGCGAAAAGACTATCTTGACCCAACTCAATCCAACCCTTACAGGGGAAAAGCTCTACCAGCCTATTGGGGTGCCCGGCTTCAACTCAGCTCCACACTTCAAAATATCACAGCTCCATCCTCATCAGCCTTTCCTCTTTCTCTTTCATCTCTACTACTCTTCTTATATATCTCTCAACAACCTTCCAGTATTCTACTTTTTCAAGCATTATATTGACGCAGCTCTCTGGTGTAATTGTTTTTTCAATCCTTCCTGTTACCTCCTTTCCCTCCTATCTCCATCTCATACACGTAAAAAAGGTATGTAGCACGTCGTCCACCCTACTCTCGCAATACACGCACATCTCGTCATCGGTCCTCTTGTATTTAACTGTGTTAACTTAGCTATAAGTTTCATTGTCCAGCTTGCTTTACCAGTGTTTTCCGATCATCTAGATTCCCATTCCTCCACTACTTCTATTGTGACTTCGCGTTTGCCAGTCAGGACTACATTTTTTCTTTTTGCTATTACAAATAGTGCTTCGGTGGATACCGTCCTATACGAACTGGTCACTCTAATCAAGATCTTTCTTTGGATTCTGCTAAGTTTGTCCTCCAATTTTTTAGTTTCAAAAGCCTCAGACTACGTCTTACATCCATACAGTATTTGGGAGTAAATAACCGAACCGATTTATTTTCTCAACCCTTTTTTTAGTAGTGTTTTATAGTGTGGGGTTGGAGCTCTAACATGAGTCTTCGACCCACTAAAAATCCCTTTCCTCGTCTTCACCGCAGATGGGCCAGAATACGCTTACGCGTTTTGAACTTCAGTCCATCGCTGTATCTTCTCTCTTCTTTGGTACTACGCCTAGATAGGTGTTGAACTCGCAACAAATAAACCTTATTAACTTTTTGGTCTTTCCTTTATTCTTATTACGTACTAGGGAGGCGGGCTGGAGCTTTCTCTTTCCCTTCTGAGGATCCTTCTGACGTTCCACAAAGTCGGCCCTAATATTGACCCCTGCGGCACTCCCCTCGTGATATGATACCTCCCTCCGTTGTATACGACGTATCTGTTGTTCAGGTATCACTTCATATATCTGATTAGGTGTTCTGATAATCCCCTCTCTTTTATACTCTGTATTATCTGTGGCCATGGCACAGATCCAAATGCGTTTCGTACGTCCAAAGTGACTAGCATAAATTTTTTCTTTTTGCCACTTCTAAATGTCTCCAGATCCCTTGCCTTTTCCAACACCTCATTAATCGCCTGTGTGGTTGATCTTCCTTTCACAAAGCCATATTGTTCTTTAGAGAGTCCTCCCACTTTTTCCAGCTCCTCCATTATTCTCTCCTTCAATACGCTCTCGAATAGTTTCCCTAGGCTGTTTAACAGGCCTGTACGCTTTTTTTTTCTGGGTTTTTGTTTTTTTCTAACAACACCAGCCTTCCCTCTTTCCATATGTTTGGGAATCTACAACTGTTTAGTAATCTGTTATACATTTCAGCCACTTTCGCCGCATCTGCCATCATCGTGTCTTTCACTATTGCCACCGTAATTCCGTCCGGCCCAGGCGCTTTGCCATTTCTAAGGCTTCCTGCCAGTTTCAAAATTTCCTCCTCAGATACTTCTCTACTCATTGCCTCTCTCCCACGTATCCCTTCCTATTCTTCATCTATCCTTTTTCCCTCCAGGAACAGTTCTTTTAGTACTAGTTTAATTTCTTCTTCTTGTAAGGCTATCTTGGGGGTATTCTTTGTCCTCCTCCAGCTCCTCGCACATCTTTCGCTAGGCTTCCCTTTTAGCTCTCTTTATCTCTCGCCTCAATACCCTTCTGGCCTCTTCATAATCCTCTCTTGCTTTTCTCTTTTCCATCTCATTTTCATTCTTTCTATTTTCCATCGTAATCACGAGTCTGCATTTATTGACCTTCTCTTTAGCTAGTCCCACCTCCTCGGTCCACCAGTAGATCCTGCCCGGTCTAATATTTGTGCTCCTCCTCTTCCCATAGACTTTATTACATGTATTTGTTATAATTTCAGTCAGACTTTCTGCCAACCCAACCCAACTCAACTCAGTCCAACCCAACCCAACCTTGTATTTATTTTTTTTTAACGAGGTTGGGGAAAAATCTGCAAGCAGACCGTCGTCCTTGGGTGTTGGTCGGCCGGGTACTGTGGGGATGAGGTATAGCCTTCTTTCCTCGTCTTGTCTCTTTTCGGAACAGCTTGCGCATAACATTTGAACAACTCCTTCACTGAAGATACTCGACTTCATGCTTTCCTCTAAGGTTTCCCGTTTTACTGTTCGTATCATCTTTCTCTTAGGTACCCCTCTTGTTCACCATTTCACATAACTGGAAACAAAATATTCCTCTTAACTTTTTAACTCACATTTCATAACTCACAGAGGACCTCTCACATTTTTCCATCATTCCATGTTTCTTGAGTTGCCCTAGCTAGGGTTACTTCCTCTTCGAGGTCATCCCCTCCCCCCTCTTTTTCTCTCTTCTCCTCTCCTCTATTTCCTTCTCGACCATCGCCCTTCGCAAGAAACTCATTAACTTCCTCGTCTCCTGCCAGCAGTTCTGCTACTATTTCAATTCGTATTCTTCTTCCAGTCTTTGCCTCCGTATCTTTACGGTCTCCCTCAACCTTGTGGCATTCAAAAAATGTTTGGATGTTTGGAGTGTTCTGTATTTTACGTCCAAACCAGCAGTGATCAGTCTAACCCAACCCAAGCTAACCTAACCCAACCCAACCCAAGCTAACCTAACCCAACCCAACCCAAGCTAACCTAACCCAGCCCAACCCAAGCTAACTTAACCCAACCCTGTTTTAAAAACTAAACAGTTTTAGAAAACCTGGAAGCTGACAATTATATTAAATCGCATTTTTTTCCACTTCTTCCACGATCAAGTCGAGTTGTTGGTCATTCATCCTGCTGTGACGTCCTCTTTGATTACATAGGAAGTGATTCAAAGTAAACTAGTTAAACTTGCGTCTCTGATCAGTTCCTTATCAGTAGCTCCGTGTGAAAACTGAATCTAGCAGCGTTAGCCACAAAGGTTTGCCGAATTTTTTTCTGCATACAACCAGTTTAAGTTTATTCCTCCAGTTGTGACACCTCTATTATATAAATTAAATAAGTCATAAGATTATGAATGTTAGATTTACTGATAAAATTCTTTTCCACATTTTTATTCATATTGAGTTAATATAGTGACAATCAAAATATTTTTTATCTTCATTTTTATTAAAAAAAACAAGAAAGCTGAGTTTAGGTTACCTTGGTTAATTTAATTAATTAAATATTTATTTAAGTTGATTAAAGGTAAATATAAAAGCTTGTTGTTTTCTATTGTTGAAGTATTTTAAAGTAAATAATAAAATATTTCCATTTAACAATGTTTAAAATAAATAAATCTAATAATTTTGTATTAATAACGGTAGATTGAGTGATGTTTAAAAAGTTGATTAGCTTTAAATTTAGCCTAATTAAATTAATACTTTGGTGATAATTAATAGATTTGTCAAAACATGTTTCGATTTTCCCCGATTTATTTTTCTTGGAAAATTTAGATAAATACAAAAAAGTTGTTATAACACGTGTTATAAAACACTAATTTGTTATCTAAACGTGTCATTTTTTTTGATGAACCTTATACAGAAACCAGACACTTATTCATCCTATCAAGAATATAAATTATACTTAACGACATTATTGTAAACATTAACTCGAAAACGTGAAAATATGCGGGTTCTATCTAGAATTTTAACGGGATTTTGTCGATGATTCATAAATCTATAATTAAAAAAAATAATTTCGCTTTGTACTTCCCAAAAAAATACTTCTCAAGGAATTATTTAAAAAACAAGTCTTGAGGTTCTTTAAAACAAAAAATTAAGATAACCCATTTTTTATTTACAGAATATTGTACACAAAAAAAACTCGATAAATATTTACCTTACGTTTATTAAAACAAAAATAAATGCCTTTCCCAAGGTAGTCTCGGCTTTAATCATCATATTTTTAATTTTCTCGAAACGGGGCGCCTTTTTTTATTTTATTTTTTTTTATTTTGAGAAGAATAAAAATTGCCTCGTTTCTCCTAAAACCTATTTTTACAGCACTTTATCTCGCTTATCGCTTAATAATTTTACAAATTTATAACCATACAATCGTAAATTAATTAAGAAACATCACAAAAACGGATTACTTTCACAATAACAAAAAGTTATAAAACGAATTAAAAACTATAATATTATTCTTTTGAAGTTAGGCACATAGTTGTATTTGTATAAAGTCGAAATTGACTAAATATCATCCACTTTTGGTGTGCTACGACCCCATAACCAATTTAATAGTACTTTTGATGGACTTTGAACATCTCGCGCTAAAAAAAAAATAATTATTATCATTAATTTATCTGTGGATAATTTAATCGCTTCCCCATCATGATTTTTACTATTTTATACATAAAATAAATACTCACATAACGTATAATTTGCATCTAAAAGTCTAGCTGCAGCTTCTGGTGGAAGTTTAGAAGCTTCATCTCTATGTTGTTGCATGATGGACATTTGTTGATACCTCCTTCTTTCTTTTTCATCCAAAACCGATTTATCTTTACTATAACTCAACGTTTTTAATTCGGATAACTTTGAATTTAAAGGATTAACATTTTCGACATCTTGAACAATATTAACATCTCTTTGCGTTGAATCCAAAGTGGTTAGTGAAGTACTCGTTTCCGCTTCATCTTGATGAAATTTAATCCTTAATTGTTCCCGCTCTCGAAGCGCGTTTGAAAGTTTTAATTGTAAAGTATCTCGTTCTTCTAAAAGTCGCATCAATTCATCGGTTAATTCTTCACAACGAACATCTCTTTGGTGTAACATATAAAGCGCCAAATCAAGTTCGGCTCGGCTAACGAGTTGATTTAAATCATCCGAATCTGAAATTGTTGATTCAATTTGTGGTTGTTGTTGTATTATTGGTTGATTTGTTGATGATGTGTGAGATAAATCAATTTCCGCAATTAACGAGTCGTAACTTTGACTTTTTTCGTAAAGTTCTTTTTGCAAATTTTGAATTTTAAACACTTGTTCTTCAATTATTTTTCGAAGCTCATCTAATTGCTTTTGTTCCTCCTCCAATAATAAGTTTTGCTCGTCAAATTTATTTTTTATCTCATCGTATTCGGCATTTTTTAGCGCCAATTCAGTTTGGATCTTTTGATACTCCTCTTGATCCTTTAATAACAAATTATTTCTATTAACCTGTTCTTGGAGTTGAAGCTTATAACTTTCCATATCCATATCTTTTGAGGATAAAATCTCATCGTAATGAGTCTCTAAATTACTTAATCGCCGTTTTAAGCTTTCATTTTCCGACGATAACTCTTGGATTAAATTGGAATTTTCGCGATCTTTGTTTGAGATTATTTCAAGGTGCTCGCGTTCTTTTTCGTTTAATAACGCGTTTAGTTTGGTTATTTCGATATCTTTTAATGAGAATTCGTCGCTCATTGAGGAATATTTTTGTACCTCGGCGTTTAATATTTCAATTTGTTGATAATACTGTTGTAGATGGGTGTTTGCTGATGATAATTGTTGTTGATTATCGTAAATTTGTTGCTCTAATAAATTTAACGTTTCATTTTTTTCCGAAATCTCTTTAAATGCATTTTCTAATTTTATATTTAAATCATCTTTTTCTGTATTATTTAATTGATTAATATTTTCTTTTTGAATTAATTGTTGATTTAAATTTTGAATTTCAATTTGAGTTTTTTCAGATAACTTTTTTAACTCATTTTCAAGTTCTTTGCAGTGATTTTCTTTACTTTCAACGTCCGATTTTAATTTAATCGATTCGTGTTGAATTTCTTCGTCGATTTTTTGTAGCTCAACGATTTTTTGGTCCTTTTCGATCAAAGCTTGATTTAATTCGTTAATTTTTGTTAAACACATATTAATTTCTTCTTTATTTTTTTCTAACTCAACGTTTAATTCGTTAATAAAGTATTGTTTTTCATTAATTTGCGATTGTAAAGCTGAAATTTTATCAACCTCGTTTCTTATCTCTGCATCAACGTTTTTTCTTAACTCATTGTTTTCATTCACTAAAATATTGTGTTTCTCTTCTAATTCGGTTATTTCTTTCCTTAAAATTTGCTCAGTTTTATAAAATTCATTTTCACGCTCCTCAACATGCAATTTCCAACTTTCAGCAATATCATAACCGCGTTGATCAACCTTTTTCATCCATTCATCAACTAATTGTTGTGATGTCATCATCAACTTATTTTCATAATCCAATTCTTGTTGTTGCAACTTCTCAATTAATTTTTCTTTTTCCTCATTTAAATTTTTAATAACATTCTCATTATCACATTTATCATTTTGCAATTTAAAATTATCATACTCATTTTTAAGCAAAGTCATTTCTTCATCATAATTCTTAACAATTTTTGCATTTTCTTCTTGTAATTTTTTAATTATTTCTTGATTTTGCAAAATTTCATCCTTTAATGACTCCATTTCCGTTTTCATTCGTTTTAAATCATCATTTTCTTGTTGCAACTCTTCAATTTTTTTCATATTTTCATTGATTATTTCATGATTTCGTGCATTCTTCATACTTATTTGTTCTTCTAAAACTCTAAATTGATCATTTTCTTGTTGTAATTGCAGAATTATTTGTTGATTTTTCGAAATTTCCTCTTTTAACGACCCAATTTCCAAACAAACACTTTTTAAATCATCATTTTCTTGTTGTAATTGTTGAATTATTTGTTGATTTTGCAAAATTTCCTTTTTTAACGACCCAATTTCCAAACAAACTCTTTTTAAATCATCATTCTCTTCTTGCAATTGTTGAATTATTTGTTGATTTTCCAAACAATTTCTTTTTAAATCATCAAGATTTTCATTTTCAAGTTGTAATTGTTGAACTTTTTGGTTAATTTCATCAATTAATTTGTGATTTTGTAAAATCTGATCTTTATAATAATCCAAATTTTCATTCTTTTCTCGCAATTCTTCGTTTAATCGATTTTTTTCATTAACAACTAATAAATACTCAGATTCTGATTTCATATTTTCAGAAATTGGCTCAATCGATTTAGCTTTTTCGGCCGCTATTCGCAAACTTCTTTGCTCCTCTAACAACGTTTGTAACTCTTCGTTATCCAACGTTAAATCTTTGATAGTCTCCGTGAGTTCAGAAATTTGTACTTTTAAGCTTTCATGGTCAATATTCGACGATGTTTCTGGAATAACCACTTTCTTAGGACTTTCGTCTTCGCCCCATTGGAATTGTTCTAATTTCGTGTTTAATTCCCGCGTTTTATTTTGCCACGAAATAATTTCCAGTTCATGTTTTTCTTTGTTATCAACAAGCCGTTCATTTGCCAGCGTTAAAGTATCAACACGTTTCAACAAATTCCCTTTCTCATTTTTTTCTTTTTCTAATTCAGCGCCAATTTCTTTAATCCTCTTCTCTAACGTAGATATTTGCGATTTTAATTCATCTTCAATCGCGGTGTTTAAATCATCGAAATCATCTGATTTATTTTTGCTAAGTTGGGCTGCTAATTCATCATTTTTAACCTTAAATTCTTTTAATTTTTTCATTAATTTCCCCGATTTTTGTTGTGATAATCGTATCTCTTCCGAATGTCTTTCCCTGGCTTGCTCCAAAACGCGAATTTTTTCTTCCAACGTTAAAATTTGATTATGAAATTGATCGTTTTGTGGGGGCGACGTTGATAATTGAAGATGTTCTTGTTCTAATTTAACTTCTTCTGGGCTAAAACCCCAACCGTCGTCGTTTTCGCCGAAAGTATCCGTTACTAAATTATCAGGATAACATAAATATGATGTTTTTGGTTTGATTTCTTCTTCAACAACTGGAAGTGTTGATTCAGCACAAATTTCTTTCGTTGGGGAGAACTCCACCAATTTTAATTCGGATACATCTTTATTAGTAATTAAAGTTTCTTCTGGAGGTAATATTTGATCATCTAAAGATGTTTTAGATTCTTGGAGATACAACAACCTAGCTAATTCCCCGCTTAACGCCTCACATTGCTTTAAAGTCTCCTCCTTTTCTTTTTCAGTGTTAAAAAGCATAAATTCCAAGGATTTTATTTTACTTAATAATTCTTCAGTTTCGTTTAAATTAATATTATTATTAGGATTTGTTGATAAAACCTCAACATTCTCAGACAAAATTAAATCATTTTGAGGAGTTCCTGGCCAAGTAAACGTACCCACATTATTTATATCCACATTTACATCATATTTTTGTAATTCTTTTAATTGCAAATTAAGATTTTCATTTTCAACATTTAATTCTTCAATTTTATTTTTTAAATCTGATTCATTCGCGAGTTTCATAATTAATTGTGAATTTTCTTCCTGATACATTTCGATTTGTTTATTTCTTTCTTCAACTATAACATTAAAATTTTCGATTTGTTCCAATAATTTTTGATTATTCTCATTAATTTCGCCCATAACCCTTTGATTATCATCGATAAATCTTTGCTGTTCAACCAATTTATTTTTATAAGCCTCGATATCCCCGTTTAAAACAATTTGATACTCTTGTAAATCTTTTATTTGGTCGTTAAACATTTCGCATTTTTCCGCTAAAACTTTATGATCGTTGTTGTAAAATTCGATTTGATTTTGCAATTCAAATTCGGTTTTTTCGGCGTCTTCTTTTAAAGAAGAAATTATTTGCTCGTTATGTTTTTTATCGTTCTCTAAATTCGCAATTATTTGTTTTAATTGGACGTTTTCTGTTTCTAAGAAAACGAAATTTTCGTTGTTTGAGGAAACTTCGTTATAACTCATTTGCAAATTTTTAATCGAATTTTGTAAACTTTCGTTTTCCGAAATCATTTCTTTGTGGATTTTATTTAACATTTCGTTTTCATTGATTGCGTCTTGTAGTTTTTTCTCGATGATTTCGTCGTTTTTAATCAAAAATTCGATTCGTTTCTCTAAAATATCTTCACTTTGGGATAACTCGTCGTATTTATTATTTTTTTCTTCTAACTCAGCTCCTAATTCAACAGCCTTTCTTTCCAAAGACATCCTTCTTTCTTCAACTGAATATAACCCTTGCTCTAATTTGTTAACTTTTTCTTTAAATTTGTTTAATTCACCATCTTGAGTTTCAATAAATAATTCCATTTCTTTTATTTTCATTTCTAAAGCATTTGAATGAATTTGTAAGTTTTCATACTCCAATTTTTGCTTTTCTAAAGTTTCATTTTCTTTGGTTAAATTTTGTATTTGTTGTTTAAAGCTTTTAGCTTTTTGAGTTAATTTTTGTATTAAAACATCCTTTTTATTCATTTCCTCTATATTTATTGATGCTAATTCTTGACTTTGACTTTGTTTTTGATAATTTTCAACCTCAATTTGCAAACTTTGACTTTGTTTTTGATAATTTTCAACCTCAATTTGCAAACTTTGACTTTGATTCTCAACCTGTAATAATTGTTGAGTTAATTTATTAATTGTATCATGAGATTTTTGTTTTAAAGCATTATATTCAACATTGAGTTTGTTGTATTCATCTTTTTGGTGATTATTTTTTTCTTGTAATTCAAAAATATTTCTTTCAAGATTTTCAATCATACTCTCTAAATCAATTTTTTGTTTTTCTTTTTCTTTGCATTCATTTTCTAATTTTTGATTAACCTCATTATATTTTAACTCTAATTCTTGATATTGAGACGTTTTCTTTTTCAAATTAGCGGCAATTTTCTTCATTTTCTCCAATTGTTCTTTATTTCGATCTTCAAGTTCTTTAATTTTCTTTTCAAATGGCTCGATTGAATCGGTATTTGTTGTTATTTGATTTTGCAAACTTAAACATTTATTTTTTAACATTTCAATAGTTTCGTGGAAATTTTTATCTTTAAACTCAAGCTCTTTTTGTAATTTCGAAATTTCCCCTAATTTTTCCTCATACATTTCTTCAACACCTCTCAATTCGTCGTTTTTGCATTCAAGTAAATGCTCTGTATTCAAAATCTTATTATTTAACGATTTAATCTCGACTTGAAGCTCATTAATTATTTCAGTATTTCTATTTAATTCTTCTTCATACTCATTAATTTGATCAATATTTGATTTTAAAACATTTTTTAATTCATTTACTTCTAAACTCATCTCATCATATCTCTTTTCATTCTCATTTTCTTTCTCTAATTCTTTAACAGCTAAATTTAAATCAGAAATAACCGAATTTAAATGTTGAATTTCTTCAATATGACTCTTTAACTCATCTTCTTTTACCTCCAATTCATTTCGTAACTCATTTAATTGATTCGAAGACGAAATCAATTCCACTTTATTTTCTTCTAAAACGGATTTATAATTTTCAATTTCATCCAAATTTTCGGATATTTTCCGCTCAAATTCTTCGATTTTCTTTTTCGCTTCGCGAAGTTCAGCTTCAATATCATCTTTTTCTTGTACTTTTTCAAAGTTTTCTTTAATTTGGATTCGAAGTGATTCGTTTTCTTCTAAAATCGATTTATATTCCATTTCTAATGAACTCATCTTGGCTTCTAAATCCAATTTTTCACTGTTTATAAATTCTTGCCCCATTATTTTCAATTTTAATTCTTGTATTTCTTGTTTTTGAATATCAATCAACATTTTATACTCTTCTATATCTTTTTTCAAATCATCATTTTGAGATTTTAAATCAATTTCTTCCGTTTTAACATCCAATTTTACTTCCTTTGTTTGTGAAGGAGATCGAGATTTTGGATTACGTTTCTTCGATTTTTTATTTGGTTTTCGTTCTTCTTTAATTGGTTTATTTTCTTCGATTTCTTTGCTTTCGCTTTTTAATTCTTGAATGATCTTTTCTAAACCTTCTTTATCTTTTTTTAATTCTTGTAAATGGACGTCTAATTCTTCTTTTTCAGTTTGAAGTTGTTCATAAGTTTCAACTAAAACATCACGATTATTCTCAATTTCTTTTATTTTAATATTTAATTGATTATTTTCATTCGTTAATTGCTCCATTTTTTCCATTACTTCTCTCCTTTCGACTGTAAAAAGTTCAATTCTTTGCAAAAGTTCTGATGTTTCTTCTGTTAGTTGATTAACGCTTTCATTTAATTCTAAATTTTCAGCAAGATGTTCAGCACTACTTTTATTATCGCTTGGAATATTTGTATTTTTTTGGTATGCTTCTAATTCGAGCTTTTCTTGTTGTGTTAATCCTTCAACAATTTCGATACTTTCAGCGCTAGAAACTTTTTCGGCGCTTAATTTTTCAAGTTTATCCATAAGCTCAATATTTTCTTGGATGTAAGTTTCTAATTTTGAAGAAATTTCCTCTTTTTCTTTTGTAATTGAGGACATTTTCTCCTCTAACTTTTCATGCTCCTCCACCAATTTTTTCTTCTCTTCCAATAAATCATTTTTTTCACTTTCTAATTTATCAAGTTGTTCTTCAAAATGAATTGATGTCATCTCAGATTTTACTTGGGCATTTTGTAGATGTGAAAGTCCTTCAAGTTTTTCTTTAAGCTCGTTTACTTTAATGTTGGAATCTTCTACGCCTTTAAATAGAAAAATAAAGACAATAATCAATAAAAACATAAAAATAATTAAAACTACCTTAGTTTTATTACTGATTAGCTTACAAATAAAAATATTAGCATTAATTTATAATTGCTTTACTTCACACTAATTATAATGTTAAATAAAATAAAAACTCACTTTGGGAAAGTGTTAATATTTGGTTATCTTTGTAAGTTAGGATTTCAGAGAGCTCTGTGAGTTGTCTTTCGAGTTCGTTGGCGGCTTCAAGCGGAATTGTTTCTAAAATAAAATTTCAATAAAAATGTGAACTAGAGTAGCCTATACTCAACTTTTTCGCATTTTTTAAAAAGCTGTCTTTTGTAGTTAGTGTGTTAATTCTTAGAGGATCAAAAACTTATCTCAATGTGGTAACTATTTAGGGAGATAGAAATTGTTATAATCAAGTTAATATTGAGGTTCATAAGAGATAAATAAATATATATTCACAAGGATTGCCAGGGGATTGAGGCAGGACTTGGGTGATGATTGGGAGAAGGATGCAAGTCAAAGTATAACAAAACTGAACTATCCTAACATTCCTTCACGGTATAATTGAGGTTTCAAAACAAAACTGACCTATCCTAACATTCCTTCACGCTATAATTGGGGTTCAAAAGAAAACCCGACATTCCTTCACGCTATAATTGGGGGTTCAAAACAAAACTGACCTATCCTAACATTCCTTCACGCTATAATTGGGGTTCAAAAGAAAACCCGACATTCCTTCACGCTATAATTGGGGGGTTCAAAACAAAACTGACCTATCCTAACATTCCTTCACGCTATAATTGGGGGTTCAAATAAAACTGACTTATCCTAACATTCCTTCAAGATATAATTTGGGTTCAAAAGAAAACTGTCATTCTTTCATGCTATAATTGGTGATTCAAAACAAAACTGATCTATCCTAACATTCCTTCACAGTATAATTGGGGTTTCAAAAGAAAACTGACCTATCCTAACATTACCCAATACTTTTGGCAGAGTTGATTGACATTTGTAAACAATTGTCGCTAAATGCGCGCAATTTTTAAATTATAAAAGATAAATTTCTGAAACTTCAAATGGGTCTCTAATCTTAGTATTTTCCATTCAGTTTAGAAGACAATGATGTTAAATACCCTCAGATTGTTGATACAAATGAAAAAACACTCTTTTAAAGAACCTTAAAACAACCTTTTACAAATTATATGAATTTGTACCATATAAAAATGCGAAAAAATCGAATAAAACCGCTCCAGATAAATTCTAAAAATTATTTAAAGTTACTAACATAAAAATTTAACCATTCACAAACATATACTTCACATAAAAACCTTTTTTACCTTTCCCACCTGATGTTTCCATCAATTTTAATTGCAAACCACCTTTTTCTTCTTCCAACTCTGCAATTTTTTGCAACAGCTTCAAATTTTCATCGGTTAATTTAACAATTTCAACATTATGATCCCCCATTTTTTTAAAACCATCGATTTTCTTATTTAATTCTTTGATCTTAGCTTTATGTTGGGCTTTAACCTTAATCATGTTTTTGTTGCTTTCATCGAGTTGTTTCTTTAATTTCACCAAATCATCCTCTGGTTTTAATTCCATATCGAATAAAGACACAGATTTTAATTTTTCTTGAAGATTTTGAACAGTTTTTTGAGCTTCTTCACCTTGGATATCTTTTTCTTTAATAATTCCTTCTAATTCAGTAATTTTCTCCTTTAATTTTAATAACTCATCATTTTCATTATTTTTTTGAAGTTTTTTGTTGTCACTTTCAAGTTGTTTAATGGTTTCTTGTAATTTTTCAATTATGGAATCACCCTTTTGGAAGCTCTCAATCAATTCTTGTTGATTATCTACTTTATCTTGTAATTCATTATTTGAAGATGTTAATTCTTTTCTTATATGTTCTAAATAATTATTTCTATCGTTTAAGTGACTAATTTCAATATCTTTATCAGCAACTTCCTCTTTTAATTGTTGAATTTCATCATTCATTTGCTGCTCAATATCGACAAAATTCTCCTGCATTTTTCTCATTTGCATTTTGGTTTCATCCAAAGCATCTAAAGTGTTTTTTCCTTTTTTACTCAGATTTTCAGACATTAATGTTATTGCTTTGGTTCGAGCATCAATTACTGAATCTTTTTCTTTAATGTTTTCTTGAAGATCTAAAACATTTGCTTCTAATTTTTGAATTTTACCCGACATTTCAGTTAATTTTTTTTCTTTCAAGGTGAGAATGTTAAATAATTCTTGTGATGTCATTTCGGGTGAATAATCTTTTATGTCTACTTCGACAAACGATAGATTTAAAGGTGTTTGACTTATTAATGATTGGGAAGCATCAAACTGGGCTCTTAATTGAGTTACCATTTCTTCAATACCTTTTTGACTCTTATCTCGCTCGGCTAATTTCAATCTAAATGTAACAAGAAATTTAAAAATCTTAATTTTAAACAATAAAAAGACATACTTATTCTCTTCTAATTGTTGCCTTAATTTGTCTATTTTTTCGTTTGCGGGGGTTTCAACTTTCTTCCCTGTTCCTTGCCCTTCTTTACCCCCTTCTTTTTTATTTTTATTAGCGCGCGCCTTCATTTTTGTTAATGTAGAAGCGTAAGCTTCAACTTTTTCCTGTGTGACATTAACCTGTTCGTTTTTGCGCAACATCTCCTTTAACTGGGCAATTAAAAGTTGTTGCTGCTCGAATTGGTCTTTGAGATCATCCAATTCTTGAACATTTGGGGGTCCTGGCCCTGTAGACCCCCCTGGGTCTTGTCCCAAACCCTTCCACATACTGGGTACTATCTGCGATTAAATGGCCAAAAAATTAATGGTTTGGAAACGTTGACAAATGGTTGTTGGTATTTTTAAAAGATTAATTTAAAAAAGTGTTCTTTAAAGCATAATTACCTGGTTGTTGCCAGTTTTTGGCAAATAAATAAATATTTTGGTGGATGACAGGAACACAGTACACGTATTAAATTGAATTGTCAAAACTGTGCCAACCTAATTTTTAATTAGTGTTAAAATCCCTGTGGTTCATAAGGTTTTTTTCGAAAGAATTGTTATTTTTAAATAATAATTAAAAAAATCTTGATTAAATATTAATTATTAACAAAATATCTTCATGACATAATTGTCTTTACTAAAATTGTTAAAAAATTGTCATTTTATTTATTTATATTTTGACATTTGTTTAAATTCAAGAATACTAACATAGCGCCATCTAACAATAATTTTTTTTAAATTGATTTATTTAAATAAATTATTAATAAATAATAAATTTTACTTATTAAATATTAAATAATACTTAATAAATTTAAATATTGAAATGTACTTTTTTATAGATTTCCTTTTTCAAGAACACATATCTAATGCGCATGTGCCATATATATATATATATGTTAACTTCAAAAAACTCGTTTTAAACGCATTTAACTGAGTTTTTATAAAAAACTTTTCAAAAGCACGTTAATTTTCATCGAAATTTCATCATTACACCTCAAAAGGTAACATACCGATTAGTTTTATTAGAATCCATTACAATTAATAATTTTATTTATTATAACCTCAAATTTATAACCTTAAATTTAAATTATCGTTATTACCAGGATTTGAGTCACAAAAATGAATAACTTGGTAATTCCACCATCCCCGAATTGGTATGAATCAAAGGTACTCACGTGTGCCGTGGATGGTACGTTAGTATATGGGGCCCAAAACGAGATAATCATAATTAATCCTACGGAGCAAGATAAAGCAGCTGATGTTAAAACGTTTCCAAGGGCTCATTACGCAAGGTTTTTAATTTTTCTATATCAAATTCGTTGTAAATACGATTTATAATATATTTTAGAGTATTATCTGTTGATGTTAACTCAAACTGGGGGTTAGGAAATAAATTGGTTGTATCAGCAAGTGAAGATAAAATCATTCATTTATGGAATGCTGAAACATATTTGTTACATTCTACTAATTCAACTCATACTGTAAGTTAATGTAATGATACAATTTCTTAAATTAATAACTTTTTATGTTTACAATTAGACCCAAGAAGATAAATTAATAGGCTCTGTATTTTTGGGAATTGATAAAATTGTCAGTATTTCCGAAAATGGTTTTATTTCACTCTGGAGATTCAAATCAGGCGAAACAATCACGTTTAAAAACATTTTTGGGTTTAAATCACGTATAACAACATTAACAGCTTGTCCCCATCTTAGTTGGATGATGGCGTTTGGTTTAAGTTGTGGGTTAGTTGTTATTGCTGACTTAAGAAGTAGGTTTAATAACAATTTAATTACTTGATAAGAATTATTTATTTATTATTAGAAACTGGGCGGGTTATTTACAAACTTAGGGGACATGATAAAAGCATTGTGTCTTTATCTTGGTGTCCAACACCATTTAACATTTTTCCTAAAAAGGTTATCAAAACTGCTTCTGTGAAAATTGAACGAAAAGTTGAAGAGGAAGCACATCAAGATTTGAGTACAGATAATGTTGAAACTACTAATGATAATCAAGCCTTATTAGAGACTGAAACTGAAGAAAATGGTGAAATCAAAAAAGAAATTGAAATTAAAACTGAATGTATTGAAGTTAAGACTGAAATGGATGAATCTAACACAATTGAGAAAGAAGGAGATGCAATTTGCGAAATTGGTGATTTGAAAAAAGAAATTGATGAGGATAATAAACAAATTGAAATAGAAGTAAACTCTATTCAAGTCAATTCATCTTTGGATACGAATATTAAAATTGAATCTCAAACAGCTCTATCAAAAGACTATCTTTTAGCTTCTTCTGCAAGGGATGGTTCAATTTGTATTTGGAGGGCAGGAACTGATGGTCGCAAACAAATGGAATTATCTGGAAGAGTTAGTAAGGCAAAAAATTGGAGAAATGCTGCAAAATCTTGGGTTTCTCTATGTTGGATTACCCCGGAGATTTTATTGTCCTCATCAATAACAGCAGAACTTTTACAGTGGAATTTATTAAAACAAACTAATAGAGGACCTGAAAAAAAACTTGTGCATCACGACCATAGCAGTAATTTATTTGTGATTGCAGCTCCAATTATTTTAATACCAGAGTGGAAAAATGAAAATAAATCGCAATGTTTGTTCGCTTGGACTATTGGGCAAGAAAGATATTTATTAAATACAAGTCTTCAAGCTGATCGAACGATCGTTGCTTCTTTACCGACTCTTGGAGGGCATATTTATAGTTTAAAAAGTTCTCTTTTAGATCCTTCAAGGTAATAGATTACTTTAATATTAATATTAACCTCAATGTAATGGACTAATACAGGGAGGAGTTGTCTGTTATAGGCTAAACTTTATCAAAATATTTCTTTTATATTATGAAAATTAACCATTTCAGATTTTTTTTTCATTTAGACCCTTTCAATACTGCTGGTATGTATTATACATCCCAAAGAATGTTTGAAAAATACTGTAGTTTAGTATATCGCTTTAAAATACACTGGGATGGGATTTGTTAGTACTTCTGGCTTTACTTTATGTGTGAGTCACATTTAGTTTAGATTCTGAACACGTTTGGCTCCTATCAGCAAATTTTTGCAGACCAGTTGGGTGTTTGTGTGCTCCTATTGCTATTATTTTTATTATTATTTATGTGTAGTGATAATATTTATATAAATTTCTCTCAGTTTCTATAAACATTGCCTAAAGATAAGTTATATATTAATTTTTTATAATATACTATTATAAAAAATTGGCCAAATTTGCCAAATTTTGTAAGAAAAAAGTGAGTTGGGACTAATAAATCCCTGCAGTATTTTTGCTTGGGATATATTTGGCCCCACAGAGAGATATAGATAAAGAATTAGCTGAGATTTGGAAAATTTGTCAGATATAGAGGCTGATACCTAACATGACAGTGATGATAGTATGGATGAGCACTACATTTGTTCCAATGAGTTTGAAAGTCCAACAACTGGCGAAAAATCAGAGCCCAAAGATCAACACGAGCAAGAAAATGAAAGCAATGGTAGCAACAAAAGTGACGATGATGCTGTTCCTGTCATTTTACAACCAACCGCGAATCCCGGTCCTACTTAAAATTTATTTGAAAAAGGAATATCGACAATTTCTCCCCAAAATGGAAAATTCCTCAAGAAGTTAGACCTATAATAAAAGTTGATCTAAATAGAGGTTCAACGATGCTCAACTGTTTTTTATAAATTATTTTCAAAAGTCTAATAATGCAAATATTTCACTACACAAATCTAAGTCTCGAAATACTGCAAGAAGCAAAGAAAAAAGCGATTAAAAAAACTTCACTAGGAGAAATCAACATAATTCTGGGATGTGTGCTGATTATGTCTTATAACCATATGCCATCAATGCGTATGTACTGAAATAAATCATTTCAGAATCTAGCAATAACAGAAACCATATCCAGGGATCGGTTTATGCTTCTCATGTCGAAACTTTATTTCAATATTCCAGAAAAACCGGCGGATGCATCTAAAATTTACTATTGAAGAGGTTTTATTCTGCTTGAAGTACACCTTTCTAAAAACAAACGGTATCTTTTCTTGAATCCTGCTAAACGAGGGATAAAGTTATGGACTCGATGTGACGCTGTAACAGGATATGTCTATGATACAAATGTATATAGTGGACGAGAAATCGAAGCGAATGAAGGTACTCAAGGTACTCTAGGCGAAAGGGTTGTACTAAAATTGGCCGAAACTATAAAATATCAAAATGTAGTGTTAACCTTTGACTGCCTTTTTACTTCCACCAATCTGTTAGATACACTCCAATTTCCTGCTGTAGGGATGTTCATATTTACTAGAAGAAACACTCCTAAGTTTTCAGGAAACCCAACAAAAAGGGAACAATATGAAATGGCTGGTTGCACTGAAGGCTTAAGTAGTGTATTAATGCCGGTTCTGGACCAGGAGTGACGTCACGCTCCAATGTTATAAGTATAGGGAAAGTGACCAACTTAAATCTGGGGGGACAAAAAGTTACTAGATTTAGGTTGGCACTGGAAAAGTAACTAGATATAGGACTCAGATGGAAAGACACTAAAGACGTGTTGGTTTTGAGTAATTGCCATCAACCTACAGTCGGAAAAACTGATCGAAAAATGAAAGTGCCAATGAAATTGATTTTCCAGAAGCAATAATTTTTGATAACAAATATATGGAAGGCGTCGACCATGGATCAAATGATTTCATTATATGATTTTGGACCGAAGAAGCACGAAATGGTGGAAGAAAGTTTTTTTAGGCTCTACATGACTTCTGTTCATAATGCACATATTGTTTATGAAGAAGTTAGTCACAAAAAAGTTCTGTTCATTGATTTTGTAATAATAATTTCCAATGTATTTATCATCTTCATAAAAAAAATCTAGGCATAATTGGACTGCGGGTGGTTACATTTAGTAGTTTAGGAGGGTAGGTTGAAAGTACAAATAGGGTCAAAATGTCCCTAAATTTAATTTTCCTAGCGTTTATGGTTTTTGAGAAAAAAAAATTAAACCAAAATTTTCCGCCATTTTTGGATGGTTCATATATCAAAGTACCCTTAAAATTCACTAAAGAATCACCCCTTGAAGTTTGTTGCACCTGTATATCGATTATTTTAAACCTTACCACACATAATAAATTAGACTAATAAATTTCTTTTCTAAGTGCCCTTTTATTTCATTACTGCAGGGACAAATATATCCCAAATAGGCACTACTGCAGGCACTTTTTTCTAAATACTAAAATATAAAAAATTAAACTTTGCATACCTACATACATTTTGAAGCCAAATGACATTACATCAATTACACAAAATTTAGTGCATTAGCCAAAAGTCGTATTGAAAGGATTAAGTCTGAAACTAACAACATTACAAAACACGAATAAAATAAATTAAGCATTTACTAATTCAAAGCGTGAAATAGTAGTTGCGTGACGTCACGATCGGGCCTACGAGCTGTACACTTGCTCACGGGATGATTCCACCGTCCTTGATGTAAATAGAAAGCCAGATAGCACATTCCATTTCCCGTATTAATCCGTTATATCGAAGTTTTACTATAATATTATATATTATATTTATTTGTCGCGTGCAGATTGGCAATTGGAATTGGTGATAACACAGCTAGAATTTGGGATCTTAGCAGACCCCATAAGCAATGTGTTACAATGGCTAATTTATGGCAAAAAATCCAAGGCAGAGTTCTTGCTTTAGCTTGGCATCCAACAGAAGAAAATATTTTGGCTTATGGAACAGCAGAAGGAAGGGTAATATTATTATTTTAATACCATCTTTTGTCTTCATAATATTCTTAATATTCTTTTAGGTTGGAACAATAAATACATGCTCAAAAAAAACGAATTTATTATGTCAATATTTTCGTAACGCAGTTTATGATATGGAATGGGGTCCAATCGACTCCAATATTAATAATTTAGGACTCTACGCTGTAGGTGAAGGAAAATTAGTTGTTTATAACACATCAAAAGAAAACGAAGGTTAAATATAATTATTTTTTCTTATTTTTACAACTCTCTCAATCTCAATATGTTACTTTAATATGTTTAGATCCAAAACTTGTTGATTCCTCAACAAAAGAACAGATTCAATGTCTCACTTGGAAGTCCGATTTTACCATTTTATCATGTGGCACAAAAACCGGTTCAATTTTGATTTATAACACCTCTTTAACGCATTTAACAACAATATACAGCGATTATAAAAGCATTTATGGGATTAGTTGGCATCCTTTGGCAACTGCTGAAGATGAAGGAATGTCCCCAATGTCTTCTTGGCTGGCGATTTCCTCAAGTTCCACTTCCGTTGTTGTTTTTGATATAAAATCTGACCAAGGAGAGGGCGATAAAAACAAAGATATACAAAAAATTGTTTTAAACCGGCATACCAAACCTGTAAGATGTATCGCTTGGAGTCCATATGTTGGAGGAAGACTCGTTTCCGGTGGAGACGATGGAGTCATTCACGTAATTTCTTTTTAATTAATTAAATTTTTCCTACTGAATAAATTGCAGGTTTGGGATGTTAAAAATAAATTGGTATTAGCAACATGTATTGAACATCTTGCAGAAGCGATTTTTACTGTTCTTTGGAGCCCACTTGATGAGAATTTTATTATATCTGGTGGGAGAGATAATTTTATTAGGATATGGAATGTTAATGAACAAAAACCGAAAACTGACGAAGGTTATTTACATGATTTTCCGATTTTTATTTTTAATTTACTTAATTTTATTTAAATTTTAGAAATTAAAAAATCATTAGAAACTTATTTATCGTTCCGCATGGATAAAAAGAGACTAACTAAAGATCAAAATGACGATGATAAAGATATAAAAGTCCAAAGAGGTGTTATGCTAAATTTAGCTTCAAAAGCACAAAATACCCCTGAAAAGGCGATGAATGATTGCGTGAGATTGTTTAAAAAATTAAATCCAGATGAAGTTGTGAATATTGAAGAGAAAGAGAGTTTAAGAAACGATTTTGATGTTTTGAAATTGTTTGATGATAAAGATAATATGTTGCATATTTTAAATGAAGAATGTAAAAATCATAAAGATAAGAAAAAATATCAACAAAGTCAACATATAGATTTATGGAAAGGTGATATAACAGAAAGTTTAACAAAAGCTATATCAGGAGGAAACGTTACACCTTGGCTAATAAATTTAGCCCCTATGGTTTCAATTGAGTAAGTTTGAAGTATTTTTAGATCTTTATTAATGTTGTGTTTTTAGTTTATGGAAACAAGCTTGCGAGGCTTACGCAAAAAAGTTAGTAGAAGATGCTAAATCAGATCCAATAGAAACCGCTTCTTATTTATTAATGTGCCACAAAGTAGAAGAAGCAATTGAAGTTTTATGCACAGCCACATTGTATCGAGAAGCTTTAGCTATAGCGAAATGTCGCCTCTCGAAAAATGACCCAATCATCGAAGAAATATTGAAGAAATGGGCTACATATGGTGTAATTAGTGGAGCTTACGAAGTTTCAACACAATGGTATAATTAAAAAATTATTAAATTTATTTCTAATCTTTCTCTTTCAGTTTTATTGTTCTTGGACAATACGAAGAAGCGGCGAAAGTTTTATTTAAACGATCTGACATTGATTCATTGAAATTTGCTGTTGTTTTAGCCGAAAAATCGGGAAATAAAGATCTGATTAATGCTTGTATTACAAGATTTAATATGTTTAATAATGTTAATGAGACAGAAAATGAACAAAGAAAAGAAATTAAAAATGAAATGGTTGAAATTAAAGATGAAATGATTAATAGTGAAGATGAAATTAATCAAGTTAAAGATAAACCAATTGAAATTAAAAATGAAATGATCCAAATAAAAAATGAATCTGTTGAAATTGATGATGATATTAAGGTTGAAAAGCAAGATAAAATTGAAATTAAAAATGAAATGGTCGAAATTAAAAACGAAATGATTCAAATAAAAAGTGAATCTGTTGAAATTGAAGGTGTTAAGGTTGAAAAGGAAGATAACATTGAAATTAAAAACGATATTGATAAACTTAAAAATGATGAGGTTGAAATAAAAGATGACCATGTTGAAATAAATGATGAAAATGTTATAATAAAACATGAAACTATTGACGCAAAAGATGGAGAAAATGTTTTGCAGGTGAAAGACAACACCAAAGGAGATGAATAAACTTTATTTCAGTTAACTAAAAAGTTTTAAATTTTTAGGTTGATTATTAATTTTGTTTAAGTTGTACGTTTGAAGAAGCGTTGTTATGTTTTGATTACCTAAGAATAAAGTATTATTTTTTGAACTGGGTTTTATCAACACTTTTTTAATTAAGAAATCATTTAATGATCTTTTTTATATCTTTTCAGTTGAGTTTTCCCACTAACCCTTCCTGTAAGAAGTTTATATCTTTAAAAATACATAAAATTAATAGCAAATTGGATCTCAATATTATAATAATAATAATGCATTTATTTATAATTTTCAGACAGGTTAAGCGCAATTTAAGAACTTCTTTTTGAACTTTTACCTTGAAATAAAATTAAAACTAGAAACTTTTAGATAATGCACATATTAAAACACTGCTAGACGTTTCGAATTGTATAATTGCAACTCACTTTAAAAACAAGTTCAAACTAATACCTAATAATTAATAAAGCCAATGCATGAAGTAAACGGAAACTCTTACCTGAGGGATTGGCGAGGTACGACCGAGAACTTGCTGGAAAGGTGAGATTTAGGACTAATATTAGCTTGTAAATGGAGCTGTTCAAATATGCGGCTTTAAAAACCAGTTTTTAGAAAGAAATGTTATGGCTACAATTTGTTGATAACACCTTTGTCATCTGGAAAAACCGGAAATAATGACTTGAGAGTTTATTAAATTATTTAAACAATCAACATCCGATGTTTAACTTCACTATGGAAAAAGAAAAGGATCAACCAACAATTAATAACTCAAATAATGGATTACATGCTTCCTAAGAACCCTACCTACACCACAATCAATGTAATTTGCAAGATGTAATTCGCATTCAAATGCAGTAAGTACTCTACCAGTTAGGTTCATATGTTATCTTTTTATTTCAGGTGTAATGGAATGAATAACAAAATACCTGAGTTAATAGATTGGAGTATTGTGTGTTTTAATGTTATATGAACAAACATGATTAGATTAGAAAAAGTCAGCCAAAATTTGCCAAGAACACTCGCTATCACCAGAGGATGAGCAGAATGGCTAGAGAGATGTGCATCACATCAAAAATATCAACAGAAAGGATGTTATGGAACTTAGCCAAAATAGAAATTATTATGGGGTTTGATGAAGGAATGCGGCATTTAACGAATAGTAATTAGTACATTAACTTAAGATTATTTCCTACTATCCTAGCACTCCTAAAACTATAAATAAGTGGTGATTTATTTACGTGCACTATTTAAGTCATGAACCTCAGTCAATCGCGGCTCAGAGCCTTGTGTAAGACATTGTAAGATTTTTGTTGTAATCAGCGGTTGGTATTAATCATCATGGCTTAATTGTAACTCAACCGGAAATTAATCAAATTTTATGATTTCCACCTCAGAGTAGTAAATCCTCAGAAATAAAAAAGAAGTGGAAAGGAACTCTTGAATTTAAAATAGATTTTAAACCATTGCAGGCCATGAAGAATGGTAGATACCTTGTTTTTTTATTATTAATTTTTTTGACATAGACAAATAAAAGGAAAATTGAATGTATCCCAAAGAAAAAAGAAACAAATTTTGTGTAATAACATTTAATCAGATTGAGAAAGTTAAGTAGACTCGATCAATGTCAAAGAAATAAATGTTGAAGTCGTTTTTCGTTGTAGAGTAGAAAATAGTATTACTTTTATGTAACGAAACGAGAATTCAAAAGGAAAAGCAAAAAAGAACAAGAAATAAAACTACATGAAGGAAAGAAAACTTAACGATACGTTCAACAGATGTTTTTTTTTTTTTAGAATATAAACGATTTGGAGCCGTTTTAAATTACCCACCTCTTTTGTAAGCACTTTTTGAGAAAGAAAAGTACGTTGCAATTTCAGTTTAGATTACGGTCTTGTTAACCGCAAAGCGTAACCTTAAAAGAATAGGATAAGGTTCCGCTTTTTCCGATACTTCTAATAACTTTTCGTCTAAACAGAAAGCGAAGTAAAAAAATGTTATAGAGAATTCTGAATGTTATTTTTTTTTTTAATTTGAGTTTTTATTAAAAAACATCAACTAAAGTTGAGCATAAACAGTATGAAGGTAACTAAAATCTAAAAAGGTTGAGAAAGCCTTTTAAGTTTTAAGTGAAATATTACTTGAAGTTTTACTTCCATCGGAAGAAGGAAAAAGCAACTCCCCTTCAACACTTAACCGTATCCATTCGATCTAAGATAGAGCGTTTTTAATTAAACACAAGAGTGCCGCTGAAATCTTGATTTACAACCCCCGACAGATGTTTTTTAACGTAAAAATTTTGAAATGATTTGAGCAGGAAACAGAATCACAAAAACAAATAAAATAAAGAGTAGTAAGTATTTGACCCTCGTTTTAGTTATTACAGTTACGACAGAAACATAATAAAACTTAATAAAAAAAATACGTACTCACCCTCAATCTCTGCCATCTCGTACAATACAAGCACCCCTTCTTGATCTAATCCTTATTTACTGCGGACTGCGTGTAGGTAAGAAAACCTTCGCAGTGTCGTCAATTACGGTCTTCCTTCTTGTTGTCGAGTTATTGCGACGATAAAACGCGATTTTTTACCTAGTATAAAGCTACTGCTGTATGGAGTACTGACTCTTACATTATTCGATAAGAAATTACATTGTATGGGTACTACATAGAATTATTATTTTTGTTATAGGGTGCGATATTTATATTGGAGATTTTAAATTTATGTATGCTGTTGGAAGAAGCACTAATTAACTCATTAACTTCTGAAACCAAATTGTTTGTCAGGTAGTATAAGTATCTAAAAAGGCCTCAAATCTTTAAACTCTTTAATTGGTTTAGTTTTAGGAAGAGGAGTCACCAGACCATCATTGAAAAGAATCTGACAAAGAGCAAAATACGAGGACAACACAGCCTAACCATATCTAGAGAAATATCATTCGAACCAACACTAGTAGACTTAAACAAGAGTAGAAATCGCTCAATAGAATCCACGGACGCTTCTTTGAAGGTAGTGATCAAGATTTAATCGAGTACTCAGCAATTCGTGCCAATTTTGGCAAGATGTTGAAATGTATAATGAGAAATGGACTTATTGGTAGCGTCTTGGTTTTGGTCTTACCTTTCTCATCGTTCTCTGTAAGTATGTAACACTTCATCTAGTTCTTGTATTCGAAAGCCATAATGGAATGCTGCAGGGCATGCAACTGCCTTTTTTTCATAAATTTAAAACTGATTCTTCAAGTATTGTGATTGGACATCCTTGTCGAGTCGAAAATTAATGATAATAGTTATTATTGTGGTGATTTATACGTTTTAGCTTTAGCCATGTTATTGTTATAGACCTAAATTCTTCTATATATATATTATTTGCAAAATTGCTATTATAGTGAAAATGCTTTTAGAGGATTTTTGTTGCCAGCGCCCTGTTTTCTGTTTATTTTGATAACAATATTTCCCGGATATGAGATTTTAAAATAGTTTAAATTAATTTTTAAAGCTTCTGTTAAACTTAATTATTGGATTTTTTAATTGGATCATTCATTGTTTTGGCACAACAGGAAGTACGTGTATCTAGTGATATAATTCCAAAACTGGTTTAAGTCAAGATATTGACTCTTTTCCAAGAGAAACACAAATCAAACCTTTAAATATACACCTAATAATATTTTACTACGAATTGTTTACGTGGTTTTTTAACATTTTTAGAATTAGCGTGCGTTGAATTAATTTTTTTTCGATAAATTTCTATTAACAAATTAACTAAAGTAGTGTCAAGTAAACACATTTATTCAAAAACTTGTCCACCCCCTCTAAATCAAAATAAATCTCAACTAACCATATAGTACAAGAAACCCAGATGATACATTACTAGAACTTAAGATCTTCCCTTCTAGAGCCAATTATAATTTAATTTCGCCCTTGCGTTGTTTATACGTCTAATTACCGGGTGAGGTTTTTAATTAAAACGACATCCAACGGTATCCGGTATCTTGGAATAAAGATGCAAGTTCGAAACGCGACGAGACCGTAGCTAATAAATAATGTTATGGAAAATGAAGGATGAGGATAGTCAATGATTATGTGATATCGTAGAAGAATTGAATTGATAATGATGTGTGGGATAATAGGGGTGGAGCAATGTGGGGTTGCCGTGGGATCCTCCCACCTGGATCCTCAACGACGACGGTTCCGATATGTGTATAAGGGCGTCGCGACGCGTGTATAAACGCGACGCCTGCTTATCTGCAACCACTACCACTCTGACCCTTGGCGGAGGGAGTTTTAAAGTTTCAACTATTAAATACAAATAAGAGTTTGTGCGGAGAAGAAATTTTTATTTGGAAGATTTAGTGAGGAATTTTTATTCTTGGCGGATTAATTCTTCATAAATGTAAGTAATTTTATTAAAAATTATTTTTTTTATGTAAAATCTTTAATAATTTCCGTTTTCTCACGATGATTTAAATTAATATACAACCACCACATTTCTCCTCCATATATTAAAGTGTAAATACATGTAAGGTAAGCAAACCCATTTGCTGTCCCTTCTAAAATGAATATAATGGGTAAACTTAGTTTACATAAAAGTTGTTACTAACAAATATTAATTCATTTAGTAATGGATTAATATTTTATTTCTTTATGTAGATCTTTTTTTAATAAATTTATTAAAGGTTGCTTTAAATAGAAAATGTCAGTATATTTATTTTAAAGCTGATAAAAAGAAATCAGGAAATCTTTGTAATGGACACTGCACTGGGAATAATATTTAGATATGTTCCTTTCCATTTTGCTTTTAGTAATATTGCCACTTTAGTGGACACTGGAGATGTTTTGTTCCGTTTTATTATAACTTTTTTAACTTTCTAAAATAAGTAAATATTTTTTGGAAAGTTTTGGTGTTTACTAACTCGAAACTCTAAGGGATAAAACATATAAAAATGAGTAAAGAGAAATATAAAATTCTCTTTTACTGATTTCAGTAGAAGTAAAGTCTTGATCAAAATCGCTTATTCAAAGTATGAACCCCATCATAATCATAAGATATTTGTTGGTTTAAATTGTTACGTAGTAACGCAAGTTATAAAAAAAATCAGATTAAGATAGAAGACTTAATCTGATTTTTTTCATCTTTATCATAAAAAGATTTTTGCATAATTTTAGTTTTTGCACCAAAACCAACGTAGATTACTTATTCTGATTTTGCAAGAAGTTATAGGCATACAAAACGCAGATAAAATGACATTTCAAATCCTATCATAACTCGAATGGTATGCACTCTTGTGCATTACAGATAGAAGCATGACACCTCATCTGTCAATAGAAACTGAAGAAATTAAAAGTAATGTTGTGAGAAAGACCTAATTTTTTTTTTTAATTTATTGTTCATTTCCAAAAAGACATAAGAGTCCATAACATGTATATAAACACTAAAATATAACAACAACGCAAGAAGAAGTTACATCCATACATACATATACAACAAAAAAAAACATTTCAAAATCAGTTTAACCTAACATTAAGGTAATAAGTCCTTGCTTCTCCCGCAAAGGAGTCCAGACCATTCTGATTCTTCACCCGTTGTGGTAAATCATTAAACCACTCCGCCGCTGCTGCTGTAACATTTCTTCACCCAATGGTTCTTGCAAGGGGCAAGATGTGAATATTTTGGTTGTAATGCATATCGCAGTTGAGGTTAAAGTAAATGCCAGTTTCTATTAGATTATTTTTGATTTTATATATTAGCTTCATGTTATCAAGCTTAATCATCTCATGTACATTAAGCACTTTTAACTCATTATACAATGATGTAGTATTTGTGGTTTACAAAAGAGAATCTTTAGAAACTTATTTTGTGTTACTTGTAGCTTATCAAGGCCTTTTTTAACGAGCGTGACCCCTAAAAGCGCAAAGATAATTTAAGAAATAGTGGACATAGGCATAATAGAAAATCTTGTTTCATTATTGAAATATTACATAATACATTTCACTTCTTTTGTATTAATTTTATATGGTATAGGTTCTATTTGTAACTTCACTCAACCTAATACCAGAGATTATAACTTCATGACTTTTCGTAGTGGCCTTTTTGTTAAAGATCATATATGTACATTTACCGCTGTTTAATTGAATATTATTTTCATCCACCCAAGAGCAAACACTGTCTAGATCACACTGAGCATCAAAAAAGACAGAGTCCATAGACCCGCTGTAGAACAAAACAGCATCAGCCACATATAACAATTGGTTATATCATTTATATATGACAACAACATTACTCTTTTCAAAAATAAGTAATTGAACCATGTTCGGGTTGTATATTAAAACTAATTATAATTTTCTGGATGTGGAGAGATGGGAAGCCCTCGAATTTCTTTTGGAGTTTTCTGGTTTTTAGAGCTTTGTTGGTTTCGCCACGCTAAAGCGTTAGGATTTCTAAACGGGTCCAGATGATTGTGTGCAACTCTTTGTCTGATGAAGGTAGGCTGTAAGTTATTGTCACGGTATATATATATATATATATATATGAGTTAATCTTGAGATGTGATAGTCTATTTCATTATTTCTGAGTGAAATTTACTGTTTTAGTTGACTATATCTAAATGCCAGATCCTCCATATCAATCTGCATAGCAATTTGAATATTATATTTTTTCAAATTCTTCAAAAGATTGCCTCTTAATTTTATTTTTGAGCAAAATTGAAGATATACAATAAAACTGGAATAACAGATTCCAAACCATACGATGCATAATATGAAGTGGAGGTAAATAAATTACTGGATTTGATTATGATGGAAAAAATGGTAGCATACATGAAGGAGTACTCACGTTGTGGGAACAGAGATGGGAATCTTGTAATCAAATTTATAATTTTTACGTGGTTCTCGTTGCAAGCGTGCGAATATACTGCAACAACCTTTACTTATCACAAGATTCCTCCTTATTTAGTTAATTCTCTCATCTATTCTCATTTATACTCAAATGAGAACTTAATATCACAAAGCCCTTTGGTTCAAGCAAGTATAATTGATCGACATATTGCGTTTTTACTAAAATTCATGTTTCTCAGGACTAGAATAATCTTTGAAAGGAACGTAGTCTTTAATGCATTGATTTCTTATCCTTCTGTTACCAACCAATTGCTTTTTAAACTTCGGGGTTTTTTATATTAAATAACGTGTGGTGTAGTTGTTATCTTATACATTTTAAAGAATATATCAAAAAATACAATGTATTGATTTCCAACTCCTTTTACCAGATTAATAATTATGATATGATGAACGATTCTTGCTGATAACATAACTACTTTTTATATTATGAAATTTAATTAGTTTATTAAAAACGTTTTAATAGAAAACAAAGTTACATTGGTTTTTTTCTTAATAAGGGCTAACGTATGAACGGTAAAAGAGACAAATAAATATACATATAATAAATATTACTTGTATTTCTATGTGTGTTGCTATACCATGGAAAATAACATTTTATAAATTAAACTTTTCTGAATACGGTTGATATTTCTTATTTTATCTTTTGCATTTTACCTTGTAAGGAAAATAAATTAAATTTTTTAAAAGGTTCTATTTCATTAAAACCAACTTTATATATTAAACACGAAACTTTCTAGTTATAGGTCTAGTGTTAGTTCTAATTTTAGTTCTAGTTTTAGTTGTTGTCCAGCGTTAGATTGTTGTATAACTAAAACTAGAACTAACTCTAAATCTAATTTTAATTGTTATTCAGCGCTGACGTCACGAACGGGCCTTCGAGCTCTGTACCTGCTCCTGTCATGTAGCTGCCCTTTTAGATTGTACCCTCTATGGTATAAATATCTGAAGACGCACGGCTAAACCCGATCGTTTCTAGTTCTAAGTCTAGTGTTAGTTTTAATTTTACACTAGCTATTTCACTGTTACTATGTAGAATTAACACAATACCTAGGACTAGAATCATTTGGGTTTAGCCGCACGTCTCTAAAGACGGTTCTTATTGTTGAATCTAGTTCCAGGTATAGTGTTAGTGTTAGTTTTACACTTGCACTGTTACTAGAACTAACATTAGGCCTAGAATAGAAACATTTTTCTGGGCTAAACCCAGAAAATAGCTCTCTACTCCAAATCCCGACAAACTCACG